GCCCTGCACGCGGGTCCGCTGCTCGCCACTGGTCTTGTCCACGCGCTCGATCATCTGCTGCTGCCGGTCGGCCCAGTAGAGATGGCCTCCAAGCACGGCCAGCCCCACAGGCTGCACGATGTGGGCGTCGGCCAAGGTCAGGCGGTTGGCGCCTGTAGGGACAACAGCCCAGGCTGCTGGTGACTGAACACCGGTGCTCAGGTCCACCCCCCGGCCGGTCCAGGGGCAGGGAGGTCGGAGCAAGGGAAGCTGGCTGGGCTTTGGGTACAGTGGGCATGGGGACACATTCTCCAGAAGCAGGCAGCTCTGCAGACAACCTTCCACCTGGGCCAGCCTCTCCATGAGGCCAGTGGCCATGAGGTCCAACGCTGACCAACCACTGCCCCCCTCGCTTCCCCTGCTGTGGAGAATCCACGGGGACCCCACGCTCTTAGAGGCAGAGAGGCCGTCAGCATGGGCATCGCAGGCAGAGTTCAGCTGGGAGTCCTGCTCTGACCCCTGTGCTGTGCAGCCTGCTCACTCTCTCTGAACTTCAGCTGCATTCCTGCCACGTGGGTGTGCTCAGGAAACAACCCTGGGGGCCCACGGCGGAGAGCCGCTACAGACTGGGGGCTCCCAGCGTGGCTGAGCGGGCTGGGCAGGCACCTGACAAGTCACAGCTCTCAATGCGTTTCAGGTCAGCGTCCACCCAGAAGAGCTTGCCCAGTGCGTTGTCCACCACGAGGGCCACGGGCCGGATGAGGCCGGTGGTGAAGAGCACCTCGCGCTCCGTGCCGTCCAGGGCGGCGCGCTCGATCTTGGCCGTGTGCTCCTGCAGGTTGGTGAAGTACAGGTACCTGTGGGCAGGGCAGGGTGGGGCGCTGAGCAGCTGCTGCAGGCCTGGGGACCCATGGACACTCAGGCTGGCCCCATGCTGAGTGGTCCCGCCCCCTCGACGCTGCCGGTTGCAGGTGCTCATCCAGCTCTGGGGCTGCCACGTTAAATACCAAATGCTTCCACCTGACGAGCAGGAACCCTGGTGGGATAGTGATGATGCACTGGGCTGCAATCTGCAGGGTTGGCAGTTCAAAACCACTAGCTGCTCTGTAGGACAAAGAAGAGACTTTCTACTCTGGGAGCTCACAGGGGCAGGTCTACCCTGTCCTACTATGGTCATTATGAGTCAGCAGCGGGTTTAGTTTTGGGTTTGAGGGTCATTGGTGTATGGCACCCACCGCTGGCTTTCTGTCAAGCCGATCCTGGGGGCTCTAGTTCCTATGGTGGCTGGGGAGGGGGGCTCTCTATTTCCATCTGTTCTGACTGGGTGGAATGTTGGGGCATTGACTGAGAGGTCCCGCTGGGGTGCAGGTGCCCCCCCATGCCTCCTACCCCCGCTCTGAGTTGACGACGATGGCCCTGGGCCTGTCCCGGTCCCCTCGGAGCACCACGCCCATGGCCTCCCCGCTCAGCCGGTGGACGTTGATGGTGTTGCTGGCCTCACACGTCCAGAACAGCGTGCGGCTGTAGGCATCGATGCTGAGGTCGTGGGGTTGCCGGTCTGGGTTCTGGCCCTGGCCGGAAGCCGTCAGAATGGAAGGCTGAAAGACAGGGAAGATGCCCAGCTTGGCCGTCAGAGGCCAGGCTACGATGAGGTGGCAGCCGCCAGAAACACTGGGAACGGCAAGGGCCTGGAGCCCCAGGGCCCTTGGGTGCTGCTGGTGATGTCACGTGGTGCAGCCGCCATGGGGGACAGCGGGGCGGCAGTCCCTTAGAAAGGTGAAGAGGCCATTACCATGAGGTTCAGCTTTGCTTAGGGCTTTCAGCATGTGAAAATGCTTCAAAGCTGCGCATCAGGCTGGACACTGAATAAGGAAGACCGTAGAAAATGGATGCGTTTGAACGGCGGGGGCCAGAGAAGAGTAGGAAAGTTCCACGAGCTGACTGCCGAAAGGACACACGGAGCTGTCTTGGAAGAAGCACAGCCAGACGGCTCCTAAGAGGGAAGGACGACAGGACGCGGTCTTGCATACGTTGGACATGTGGTCAGGCGAGACCAGCCCCCGGAGAAGGGCAGCATGTTTGGTCCAGTGGAGGGCGGTGAGAGAGGAAGACCCTCAATCAGACAGACGGACACCGTGGCTACAACCATGGGGGGCGGGGCGGCGTAGAACCAGTGGTGAGGATGGCTCACGACCGTTTCCATCTGTTGTGTGCACAGGGTCGCGATGGGCTGGGCCTGCTTTGATGGCACTTAAGGGCAACATC